AGACAACTAAAATCGAATCTATTTATCATAAAGGCCGAATGCAACCACAACTCTATAGTAGATAAGAGTAGTCCCTCGGATCCCTAGAGACAAACCCATCTGTTACAAAAAAATGATTGAAACTCTAAGGTGGATAAGAGTAGTCTCTCAAGGTGGATAAGAGTAGTCTCTCGTACATGTGCACGCTGCAACCTCAATGGTGTATTACTTTGTGATGGTCAACTCAATGGGTATTACTTTCCTGCAGTATCATATGCACGTACTGTATGATGGTCAAGTGATGAGGCTTTGGTCAAGTGATGAGGCTTTGGCTTTGGCTCTCGTCACTAGAGGTCAACCATCACACACACCCATAAACCCTCCTCCGTTTTACATTCATAGCCAAGTAATAAAGATCATGCCCAGGTAATAAAGATTTTTCAACTCAACAAGCCTAGCTTGTAAAGTTTCAACTCGACTGGCGCCAACCGTCACACACACCCATAAACCCTTCTTCGTTTTACATTCATGCCCAGATAATAAAGATCATGCCCAGGTAATAAAGATTTTTCAACTCGACTGTCTAGCTCGTAAAGTTTCAACTCGACTGGCCAGCTCATAAAGCCTAATTAGAGTATCAACGAATAACATTTGCCTATCTCGGTCTCTCTAGACCATAATATCTTTTCAACTTGACTTGCCCAACTTGTAAAGTTTCAACTCGACTAGCTTAGCCCATAAAGCCCTAATCAGAGTATCGACAAATAGCATTTTGCCTATCTCGGTCTCTCTGGACCATAATATCTAGGTCCTTTGGACCGCAATCTCTAGATCCCTCAAGACCACTATCTTTTGGTCCCTCAGGACCATATTCCCACCGGAGTTCTTTGATCCACTATATTGGATATTAATTAAATGTTCTCATAAGGCCTTTAATGACCACATAAACCCTACACAACCACCACGACCTTGGCCCCTATCCTCATGTCACACTTGTTTCCCTTATTGAAATTATTTTAGAAAACATTGAAACTTAAATGAACTTGTTTGGGTACTTTTCAATCCAGAAACCCTACCAATGTAAGCACCAGTTTGGATAAATTTTTATTTTTTCAAAAATGGAAAGCCAAAGAGTTTACTCAAAATATATTTTCAATGTACAAGCCTAAAATCCTAGGACCTAAGTTTGGACGTAAGAACTTAGTTACCGGCCTCAATGAAAAAAATTTGTGAATGTGCCTTACAGATAACACCTTTCTATTAATTAAAAACCATATAATTTATGGATAGTCAAATTTAAGTGTTCGTTCTTAGGGAAAACAAAAAAAAAATGTTTTTTCTTTGGGTGTGGTTTCTATAAGGTTGCAATACAATTTTAGTGAAAAAATTCTTAGGATTATCTCAAAATTTATTTTCATATCTAATTATAAAATTTTATGCTTTAAAATTGGTTAAAATCAAGTAGATTTATAAACCTATGAAAATCTTGAAAATGGACGATTTAGATAAGATGCATTATTTCTAGGACTCAAAATCTTCTTTTTTTTTTACTATTCACAATCAATTAAAGGCTTTTTCAACATTAAACAACCTTTTTTGATGGATTTTTGAGGTGCATCTGTAATTGTACATTTTAAAATTGCGACCTTATATAAACGTTTTCCTTTTTCTTTTTTAGGGTCCCATGTTTTTTTTTTTGAGAGACTCTCAATGTCCATTAATCAATATGATTATATAAGCTTGTCTTATACAGACAAATAAAGATGACAATAATAGAAGTAAACTGGAGACAGATACACTATACCCACAATAGTTATAAAATACAAAATGTTGCACGTACTTTCTCATATATATTGATTATAATATACACCCTCTAAAATTAACTCTGTAGACATATATTTTTCTTAACACTTCTCAAACTCAAGATGTTATGAGAGAGAGCAACTAGAGTTTGAACTCTAAGTGCTAAGATGAGTAGTTAGATCTTTCAGGTGTATAGTTTGACCACTACAAGCAATTATTGTCATGCTCAAATTGCTTGATCAAGAAGCAGGAGAATAACAAAATACGAACCGTAGATCAATAGGCCTAAGAAACACAAGGCAAGAACAATGTAGTCTTGAGGACAACGGATCAACAAAATCTTAAAAACAAAAGGTTTCTTTGAGTTTCAGATACAACATAACGATTTTCCATCCTCTATCTAATCCAAATCATTTCCCTGTAGTGAGATTCAATCCTCACACAGACTACCCCCTTCTTTTTCTTTTTAAAGTTGTTAAGAAGAGCCTTTTTTTGCATCGGCAAGTTCATTCTCTGCGTGCTCCCTGCTTCTATCTCTCGAAAGTATTCAAATTCAGAAATATGAGAAATTCAAAATTGAGAAATTGAAAACCTAAGATCAAGTGGCATGGCCACAAAACCCAGTTCAGGGTCCGATGGCAACTAGCGTGAAAAAACATCATGAGAACAGCTCATGTAAATAAACCCTAGGAAATTTTTGAAGAGATGATTTGAAGCTTTTTTTGGAGAGTCCACAGCTCCATGTCCATCTTTAAGATGGATTTGTGACGCCTTGGAGGATGCGAATGTAGCTATGCGTCCCCCAATGCATGAACCAAAAGTGTTATATGTGTGAGGGGATGCATTCCTACATTTACATCCCCTGCGGTATAAACTATCCATCTCAAAGATAAATGTAAATAGTGGTCCCTCCAAAAAATATTTGAAACCAAAGGTCTAAATATTTTCTTGAAAAATTATCATTTTTAAATATTAATAATAGCCATATTAAATAATACATATTTCTTAAAAATTAGAGCCAAAATTCATTTAAAAAATGGATTATTTAGAGGGGGTACATTTCTAAATTGGAGTTTGGGAACCCATAGAAATGTGTCCTTGAAAATAAAGTACGATTTTGAGAAAGAAAGTAATTTTTTTAAAAAAGTGTGGTTTTTTTAAGGTTGCAACCTTAAACAATCCAATTAAAGCACACCTTCAGTTTTATCAAACATGTAATTTTGGTGAAAATTTGTTTTAGAATTATTTGAAAATCTATTTTTATTTTTAATTATAAAAATTTAAATGTTTAAAATAGTTAAAATCAAATAGATCTATAAACATATGAAAATATTGAAAATGGACGGTCTAGATAATGTGTTGTAAGATACACTATTTCTAGGACTCAAAATCTTTTTTTTTTTTTAATATATTCATATATCTCAATGTTGAGATGATCAATTAAAGGTTTTCTAACATTAAAACAACTTTTTCTAATGGATTTTTGAGGTGATTTTTATTTCTACATTTTAAAGTTACAATTTTATATAAACTTTTTCCTTCAAAAAATAAAGATAAAATCATTTAATATAATTTTAAGGAAAAATTACACATGCCCCCAAAATCAACTTTTTACACATTCTACCATGATTATGCCTTAAATCTCAACACTATTTTTCTCTTGTATTTACCCCCAATAAAAAAAAATTAATGAGTTTTGAGACAAAATTACCCTTTGTCTCTTTCTTCTCATTTTATCTTATCTTGTTCTCTCTCTACCACTCTTCAACCCTTTCTCTTGCTCTCTCTTCCCCCCCTCACTTTCTCTCTCTCTCCATTTTTTTTTGCGGTCTGGCACACTCCTTGCCAGGCCGAAATTTTTTTTTTGCGGTCTGGCACACTCCTTGCCGGGCCGAAATTTTTTTTTTGTGGTCTAGGACAAAAACTTATTGGACTGCAAAAAAATTTCGACCAAACGCACAAATTCCAATAACTTCTCCCCAGCCAATAATGCAGTCCGACACTCTTCTTGCCGAACTGTAAAATTCGGTTTGACAAGTAGTGTGCCGGACCGCATAAAAAAAATAGAGAGGAGAAAGAGAGATAGAGAGAGAGGGAAGGTAGAGAGAGAAATAGTGAGTGAAAAACAAGCAGAGAGAGGACGGGTGGAGAGAGGTAGAGAGAAAAATCGAGATAAAAGAGAAAAAAAGAAAGAAAAGAAAAACGTTTATAAAGGTTGCAACTTTACAATATAGAATTACAGATGCACCTCAAAAATCCATCAAAAAATATTGTTTTAACGTTGAAAAATCCTCTATTTGATCATCTCAATATCAAGATATATGAATATTAAAAAATATGTATCTTGAGCTCCAAAATAGTGCATCTTGCAACGCAATATCTAGACCATCCATTTTCAAGATTTTCATATGTTTATAGATCTACTTGATTTTAACCATTTTTGGAGTTTAAAATTTTATAATTAGATATGAAAATGGATTTTGAGATAATCCTAATACTTTTTTATACCAACATTATATATTATGATAAAATTTGGAGGTGCGCCATATTTGGATTGTTTAAGGTTGTACCCTTATCAAAACAATACCCAAGAAAAAAACGATAAGTTTGTCTCAAAACCCATCGCCTTTTTTTATTGGGGGATAATGCAAGGAAAATAATGTGGGGTTTAGGGTATAATACAAAAAAGATCGAGTTTCTATACAGCCAAGTCTGCATATGTAGAAATACAGGCCTTGTAAGAAATCTATATTTTAGATGGATTTTAAGACTTAATATTTAAGGACATGTAATATCTAATATAGATATCATAAATGTGAAAAAACAAATAAATTTTAAAAATTAAAAATAATAATTATAGTAAAAAAATATTTAGACAATTAGTTTCCGGTATTTTTAGATTTCTTTAAAATTGATGCTTTACACTTTCTGGACCGCGTAAGTAGAAATGCGGTACAGCCCGCATGAAACAATTTTTCTACAAAAAAAAAATATATATATATATTGCGGATGGATGTATAGGAAGTTAAAATTGGGATAATCTATAATTTTCCCTAATTTTAATATGGGTGGGCCACCGTTGGGTGACAATTGACTTCTTTCAACTACAATATGGATGTCGAGTGCGTCAACGGACGCAATTGTAGTAGTACGTCCCCTGACACACCATTTACTTTGCCGTCCCTCGTTTAAAACCGGACAAGGTTAGCATGCGAGTCTCATATCAACTTTTCCCGAGAACTCTCTCTGCAACGATGTTTTTTTACTCTGTTTTTTATCCAGGAATGCTCGCAAGTAAATTTGGGAAAGAAGGAAGCAAAACCACCTTCATTTCTCTCTCTAAAAGCTTTCTTATCTCCCCATCATAGAGAAAGAAGCCTGAGAAGCAAATTTGAAGGAGGAGGGATTGGAGGCCCAATTTCATCTCTCTCTCTCATGGCCCAAGCATCAATTCAAAAGCGGAAAGAAGTTGAAACCATGGCTGTGCACTCTATATTTGATGCAGGAGTGCTAAGAAATGAATTTGAAAAGGCAGGAATCAGTCACAAGTTCATTCCTCTCATATGGAAGTAAGCAAAAGCAAAACCCATCTCTACTCTTTTTCAAGATGTTATTTTTATTTACAGTTCTATCTTATTGCCTTTTCTTAGAACCTAATTGTAATTATCCATGATTTTTTATGATTTACAAGGAGTTCTCATAATTTGCAGGTACATTCTCCATAATCCTGGCTGCCAAGCTCATGAGGTCCCTTCCTTGCCATCTATTGCTTATCCTTTGCTGAGTTCCAAGTTTAAATCCATGACTTCCACTCTTGCATCAGTTGTGGATTCCAGTGATAGAGTTACAACAAAGTTGCTTATCGAGTTACAAGTATTGGGTTTCATTTATTCTTGCTCATTATCTTCTCTTTTTCGTTAATTTGATTCTTGCGCGTGTGGGCTATGTGGATATGATCAATTTGCATATGTTGGGATTTTTTTTCTAATTTACTGCAAGTATTTTATTTTTGTTTGTGGAACTATTAACTCCTGGTCTCCAAAAGCACGGTAATCCCCTATCCCTTCAAACTGGTAATCACTCTGTCAATTGTCAATGTGAAGTCTTGGCTGTCTTGGCATAATGAGGTCAACAAAATTGTAAGTCTAGATCATATTAGTTTGGGAAAGTAAATCCTTATCTGGCAATGCTGCCTGAGTCCCACAAATTGGTTTGGAAACCCTAAACAAATCTAATTCCAGTTTTCAGGGTGAAGAAGTGATAAATCATAGTTATTTTTGGGAACTCTTGTTGCTAAAAGTTTAAGGCAGTCCCTGATCTCTCCTTTGGCAGGCTCCATTGTGGGGCCTAGAAAATGCATTGCGAGATAAATTCTGGGTCTTCAATAAGGTAACTTTTTTGTATTCTATACCACATTTAAAAGAAATCTCGAGCATCAAAATCATTCAGTAATTTTTGAAGTTCATGTTATTTTTAAATATTTCCTTATTTTTTAATAGTTGTTGTATGATCCCCCCCTTGGCTCTCCCTAACTAGGGAGCTTTGGCAAGCAACAATTTCCTTCCCGCAGTCTCGCTCCTGCTTCCAAAACTATGACCCTCAGAATGTCTAGAATCTCAGTTCTCATGGGAAACCAATGTCCAAGATCTGGTGACTTTGAGATGCACCCTAAGGAGGAGAAAAAGTGGAAGCCCTAGATCTCCTTCAATCTGGATGAGATTACTTAGGCCAAGGTCTTGTCCAAAGTGCTAACCAAGTTTTACGCCTGTAAGTTTTGAAGGTCATGAATGCCTTCCACCTTGCGAATGAGAGTAATGGAAGTGAAATTCATTTCTTATGTGAGCTTGAAAACTAATGGGCAATCTAAATTTCTTTATGGCCATGTTATCATTACCTGCAGTATCGTGATTATTGAGGACCCATTTATTTAAATTGTTTATGCATAGGAATTGCTGAAAGATACATATAGCAGGTGTTGATCTTTCATAGTTTGACACTATTGGCCAATCCGCTTCAATATAACATGATAATAATACATCCTGGTGTCAACATTGAATGGTTTTGATAGTTTCAGAAAAAAACATTGAATGGTTTTCACTATCTTCAGGTTTTTCCCCCCTGCTGAGGTTTTTCATCTCACCTTTGCATCGTTGTAGTGTTTTTTCTTTTCTTATAAAAAGAAATCTTGTTAATTTGAAGTTAATTATTCTGTTTTCCATGTGAATTCTCTTTTTCTTGAGTTCTTTTGGATTTTTAAAATAGTTTAAAAAATTAGAAGATTACTCTAATTGAAAGAAAGTAAAGTGGCATTGATGATTCAAATGATTCAGTACTTCCTCTAGGAATGCATTCTCATGCATCATGAAAAAATTGAGATGCTGCTCATTAAGCACTTCCACTCTTCAAGCCCATACACTGTCTTGTGTTTCAACAAAGTCCAAGTTTAATCTTGTTTTGAAGTTTGTCGATGTTTCCCATTATACGTTACAAAGACCAAATGCATGTTTTTCCCCTTATTGGCAGAGTGGCTCCTTTGTTGAAGCTGTTATTATGAGATATGACACACGACTTGGGAGATATGGCGGTAATCCTCGTCCTGGAGGTCCAAGGTCAACTCTATGCATATCATCCCAGGTATCATATACTCCGATATCCACTTGCCCTTGTAATACTTTGTGTTTAGAGGACCGCTTGCACTAGGTTTATTTGTCTCTTCCCCGATGATTTAGTGTGATGCTGGTTCTGGTTTAAAATACATTTCTACTCATTTGTTTGTGGATCTAGGTGGGCTGCAAAATGGGTTGCACATTTTGTGCTACAGGGAGCATGGGATTTAAAAGCAACCTCTCGTCAGGGGAGATAGTGGAGCAATTAGTCCATGCCTCAAGCTTTTCAGACATCCGCAATATTGTTTTCATGGTAATATTCATTTATCTGAGTAATATCTATCTGTTTGAGCTGCTGCTTGGATCCCGCTTTATTAATTGTGATTATTTCATTGGTGAATCTTGTAATGTGTTCATATAATTTTAGTAGTTTATATGATACTAGCCATTGTTTTAAAATGTGGCCACATGATGCATTATTCAGCTTGAAGCACATCTCTCCAAGCCGCATATGCAGCAAAACGTGATGCTTCCGCATGTGTGGCGTATCACCCGCATATGTGGGTGCATCACGAGTGATGCGTCAGCGCTCGCATATATACTCTGTGCTCTTTGGCTGGAAAATAAGCCCACGAGCATGGGCAAAATACACATTAGTGCCATTTAACATGGTTCTTAGGTGATTAAAAACCAAAAATTTTCAACTTTTGATTTTTTTCTCTTGTGTCCAACATTTTTGAAAAAATTGACAGATTCTTTTGATTATCCCTTGAGATTGTTTTGGGCATTATTTGGAAGGTATTTGGGCAAACATTCACAAACTAATCGAGGGTTTTTCCAAGGGCTGAGCAGAAATTGAAACTTATTTGGGTTGTTTAGTAAGAGTTTCATTTCCTAATCCCGTTCTCTAGGCAATGCCTTCATCATTTTCAACTAACAAGGAGCCAGCATGGAAGTATGCTAAACTCAAGAATCCTAAGGATTGAAATTATGTTATTTGTACTCTATGTGGGATACTTAAAAGAAGCACCTAGCTGGTATTACCTGGAATGTTTTAATGCATGCCCCCAAGCAAACACATGAGAGTGGATGGGAGACTATCAGGGACTCAAAATCTCAGATAGCTAATATTATTAGATATTGAATAAACTAAAATACCTACTATCACAAAAATCGCATTTGTGTTTTTGTGTGCATTATTATATTGTTTATGATAATCTATAAATTCATTGACTGCACTAGAGGTGATGTGCCCGCATTGGGACTGCATTGTGGCATCGGACCCCTAACTGCATTGGGTCTGCATCCTGCATTTTAAAGCATTGATATCAGCCTTGTTTTCTCAGTTTGTGGTGTGAATAAGTTTTTGCTGTTTTGTGTTTAATGAAATGGCATGCATGTTAGTTTGCTTTCAATAAGAAGTAGCATCCCCCAAATTTTCTTTCCTGAATTTGTTTACTGATATCCATTAATTAATATCAGTGGTATTGGGTGTCCAATTTCCTTAGCAATTTGATGATATCAGATGGAGCTGGACTTATTTTTTTATAATTGTACATAACAAAATGAAATGAATCAAATTGGTCCAAGTGGATCTTGTTTGTTGAATCAACAGATTTTATAATCTAAAGTTATTTCCACAGCTTATGGATTTAGCCTCCAATACAGATTGGGTGCCAAAACTGTATTTGATAGCACTACATGCAATCACTTGAGAGCATACTGGCTTCATCATTGATCAATTGCTTAAAAACTATTGCAAGAATATCTTATCTGTGGTAGCATCTTTCATTGCCACTGGTATTCGTAGTCTTGAAGGTTGAAGCAACTTACACTTGCTGTGTAAAGTGTTTTTGCATAATTTAGTGAATGATAGTGAATGAGTGAAGAGTTATGTTTATTTCCATATGATGAGCTAACTACTGGAAATATGAGTAATATAACAACTAAGTCATAAAAATAAGAAAAATTCCTAGATTCCTAATTTTTTAGTATAATGGAATAAGATTGAACTAATCGGCATGTGTTTCTTGTTGGCATTTAGTTTGTGCAGTACATTTATGATCAGTATAATCACTATATCACATGAACTTATTGTCCCCTCTTATGTCATTGTGAATTTCTCTTGAGAATGTTTCGGATAGATAAGTTAATTTTCTTTTGGGTGATATTATCATAAAAAAACGAGTATGATTAACATCATAGGAATGGGCCATGGCATAGGTGACGGTGCCACACTGCGATGTCTTGGATTTGATTCCTCCAGGTCCCATTTACTTGACATTAAAAAAACAAACAAAGTATTATCTTAAATTCCAATATTTAGAAGGAAAAAGTTCATAGAAGGCGTCAACCTTATACGGTTGAAGTAAGGTGCACCTCAAGAATCCCTTGCAAGAGAGTGTTCTGATGTTGGAAAACCTCTAATTTGATCATCTCGGCCTCAAGATGTATGGATACAAAGAAAAAAAAGAATCTCCGAAGAGTAATATCTATTGTAACAAATTATTTGGACCCTCTATTTTTCCAGATTTTCAAAGTTTTATAGATCTGCTCGGTTCTTACTATTTTTGAAATTTTAAATTTCGTAGCTAGGAATAAAAATAGATTTTTCAAGCCATCATAAGGTTCATGACATTAGAACTACATTCCAGACACAATTTAGAGGTACGCCTTAGTTCTACATTATAATGGGGGGCACCTTATACAAATATTACCTTATTTAGAATTTTTGTTTCAAAACTAGCATGCTTGAAGAGATTTGAGGGAATCTTTACGATTCTTGACGAGTTTAGTGGTGGAACTGCAGGGAATGGGAGAGCCACTGAACAACTATGCAGCTGTTGTGGAGGCTGTCCAAGCCATGACAGGAAGCTGTTTTCGGTTATCTCCAAAGAGAATTACAATATCAACTGTAGGAATTCTGAAGTTGGTCTTTATTGCTGAATTAATATTTCTTTAAGATTTTGAATTTTCGCATTGAATTCTTCTAAGAGGTGCTTTTCAAGGTTTGCTACTCCTTGTTCTTGACTTTTAAGGCCTTCTGCGGATCTTAATAATTTTTGCCAAAGGGATAGAAAATTATGCTCTTTTTTGGGTATTCATCATCATCATCATCACTATTCGTATTATTATGTCTGTTTTTAAAAATTTATTTTGCAATGCCATCTCCTGATTCTTTTTTTTTTCTATTTTGGAAACTGTTGACTATAGTATATTGTATTGAGTAGAAAGGAAATAAAAAGTATCAAAAAATAGGCACCCCACAGGCCAAGAGCTCTATACAAAAATGGCATCCCTACAATTGGGGGCTCTATACAAAAAAATAGCAACCCCAAAGAATGGGACTCTGTTCAAGAGCACCACACAGGTTTTACATTGTGCACACCACCCAAAACAAAGAGAGCGATGCTATAGATTTAGGTACCAAAAACGGTCAGGACACACAGGTTTTACATTGTGCATACCAACCAAAACAAAGAGAGCAATGCTATAGAGTTAGGTGCCAAAAACGGTCAGGGATGTGCAGTTGAGTGCCCCTTGTTTAGCTAGGGCGTCGGCCTCTGCATTTCCTTCCCGTCAGATAGACTTCCATGTGACGACCGTATCCCTACAAATGTGATAGATTTCATCAAAAATGTGTGCGAGAGTCCAGGGGCATGGTGCTGAGCCAAAGATCCATGCAATTACGTTCTTAGTGTCTCCTTCCACTATGATGAGGGTGAGGTTCAAAGAGGGGTTCCAGCTTTTGAGTCCCTCAAGGAGTGGTAGAGCCTCTGCCGATTGGGAATTGTGTATCCGATATGTTTGGAGTATGAGCTTAGGATCAGACCTTCATGGTCCTTGATTAGGCCCCCAATACCTAAAGGGCCAGGGTTGCCGAGGGAGCGGCCACGAAGTATAATATCAATTGGCCTGGTTCAGGAGGTCTCCAACATGCAGCCCGGGATATGAGGGGTTTCCGTGAGAACAACAAGGCCTGCCAGTTGAGGAAAGCAGATTGCGGTGCTCGTTTGAAGTACTTGTTGTTGCAAGCCCAAAAGGTGACCTGGATTCTGATTTTGTCAAACATTTTACCTAGGGAGGACCTCTCTCCTCAGAATATTCTATTGTTTCTCTCAATCCAAATAACCCAGAGGGTAGCTGCTACGGAGGCTTTCCACAGGACAATGCCAGTTTTGGGCCACGGGAAGGGTTGCAGTGAACTAAAAGAGGAGGCAAATGGATTTAGGGGTGACCCATTGCCAGTTGAATAGGTGAAGTAAGGAGCCCCAGATAGCGCAGGCCACCAGGCGGTGAATGAATAGGTGGGCCTTCCTCTCTTCTTCATTGGTGCACATGAGGCATCTATTAGGAATGGGCAATCCTCTTCGTTGCAATTGGTCTACCATGAGGGCTCTTTCAGACAGGGCTAACCAATTGAGCACTTGGATCTTGGGAGGTGCTATGGAGGACCATGCCTTGGCTGTGATGGAAGTATGAGAGAGGGGGAAGGTGGGGGTTGCATGAGCTTGAGGTAGAAAGAAGAGACAGTCAAGGTTCCCGATGGAGAGGGGCACCGTATAATCTGGTCCGGACAGAGGGAGAAATGAAGATGGAGTGGAGGATGGGATGGAGATTGAGAAAGTCGGCACATTTGATGTCAGAGAGAGGTCTTTTAAAGATTTCCAAACTCGAGATGGGCCAGAAATGGTGAAGTAGTCCGCCACAGTAGCAGGCCAAGCAGAAAAAGGGAAAGGGAAGAGGGGTGTGACCAAACCAAAAGTCCGACCAGAAACGCACCCTTCTGCCCTATCTGGGATGGAATCGAATGTTGGCTCTGAACAGGATTACAAAAAGGAGTTCCACACACCTGATGAGTTGTTGTAGGTTCTGCAATTAGGCACCTATTCGGAGGGTTGGAGACGGTATTTGTGCCGAGCATCCAAAGGTGGTTATCTTGTGTGGTTAGGCATGACCACCACTTGCCTAGGAGCGCTGTATTGTGAATTTTTGGGCTGCGAATTCCTAGTCTTCCAAGGCTTTTCGAGGAGCAGACCTTTTTCCAAGATATAAGGTGAAATCTCCTTTGCTCCCTCTCCCCCGACCAAAGAAAGTTCCTAATAAGTTTTTCGAGATGGTAGATTACTGTCACCGGCATGCGGAACAAAGACATCTGGTAGATGGGGATGTTGTCCAGAGTGGTTTTAATGATGGTGAGTCTTCCTGTCAGGGAAAGGAAATGACCCTTCCAACTGGCCAGTTTGCGATCAAACTTGTCGATGATGTGTGCAGTGTGCCCACTGCCTAATCTTGGGTTTTGCAAAGAGGCAAGCCTAGGTAATTGGTTGGCAGCCTATTGATCTGGCAGCCCCATCTCTCGGCAAATTGCAAGGTATCTTGAGGGTGAAGAGCCACCCAAACATCTTGGACTTGGCCATGTTAACTTTGATTGGAGTAGGGAGTCTACCTCTTGATTGGAGGCCCTGCAGAAAATGAGGTTATTATCCGCATATTGGAGGTGGGTGATGATTGGGCCTCGAGGCCCACTTTTAAAACCATGAAGCAGACCTGCCTGAAACATTAGGGAGAGTGATTGGGGGCCCTGCAGAAAACGAGATTGTCATTCGCATATTGGAGCTGGGTGATGATTGGGCCTCGAGTCTACCTCCTGACTGGAGGCCCTGCAGAAAACGAGGTTATCATCCGCATATTGGAGGTGGGTGATGATTGGGCCTCGAGGCCCACTTTTAAAAACATCAAGCAGACCTGGCTGAAACATTCAGGAGAGTGATTGGCTGAAAACCGCAGCAGCAATGGCAAATAGCAATATGGATAGGGGGTCGCCTCGTCTCAACCCCTTAGAGGAGCGAAAGTATCCTTTGGGAGAACCATTAATAAGGACGGGGAAAGAGGAGCTGGAGATACGGCCTTTGATCCAGGCCTGCCACAGGTTGCCAAAACTCATCCTTGCATGAGTTTCGTCGAGAAGAGCCCAATCAATGTGATCATAAGCCCTTTCCCAATCGAGCTTAATAATCAGGCCTGGGGATTTGGAAGAGTGCCTATAATGGATACACTCGTGAGCAACTAGTACTTTGTCAAGGATCTGACAATCCTTAAACAAAGGCACCTTATTGAAGGGAGATGAGTGGGGAAAGCACCTCTTTTAAACGAGTGATGAGGACCTTGGATAAGATGTTGTAGGTACTGTTGATGAGGCTTATGGGGCAGAAGTCCTTAATTTACTTTGCCCCTTCAACTTTAGGGATGAGTGCAATGAAGGAAGTGTTCATGGCTCTATAGACGATACCCTCTTGTGAAATTCTCCAAAGAAAGAAAGGAAATCAGGTCTAAAGGAATTCCAGAAGGTTTGGAATATAGTGATGGGGAAGCCATCGGGGCCTGGAACTTGGTCCTGTCCCAAAGCCTTTACAGCAGAGAGGATTTCGTCCTCGGAAAAAGGACGTTCCACCTGGGAGGACTGTTCTTGGGGGAGAGAGGGGAAAGACGGGTCTGCCATAGAGGCCCCTAGGGGCTGAGAAGAGATTCCATAAGTAATCTATGATAGTTTGCTCTACCAGTTTAGGTTCCTCAAAAATATGGTCATGAACCTTGATGTGGGTGATCGTATTGCTGCGTCTTCTACGGTTGGGTGTTCTGTGGAAGAATGTTGTGTTGAGATCCCCGAATTTGAGCCATTTCACTCAGGACCTTTGGAGCCAGAAAATTTCCTCTTTCTTGAGGATAAAATTGTAGTCGAGCTTGAGTTGGGTCCTCTGGAGGAATTCAATATTTGAAAGAGTCCTATGCCCCTCCAAGTTGTCCCATGCCTGAAAGGTATTTATCTCTGATCCACCCTGACCCGGACCTGACATGACCTGTTGCCACCCTTTTTTTTGGGCATTTGTCTTTGCTGTTGCTCGCGCTGACCTCATCACACAGTGCACATTCATCCCCACACTTATGGGTTATCTTTGGCCCAAAGTTAACCAAGATCTTGGATATTGCTTCGATGGTGGTCTCCCTTGTGCTGTATATTTATCTACAATTGGAAAATCCTCTGTACATGTCACATTTAGGTTAACGCTAATCCTATGCCCCTGATTGGCTGCCTGCTTCAAAATTAGTCCTATCCGTTATACACACACACACAAAACGGGTCTAGTCAACCTTGACCTGACCAATTAGGTCCACGTCAAACCTGGACCCAGGCCCTGTCGGATCCAAAATCAAGTGGACCTAGACTTGACCCAACAGGTCCAGCAGGTGGCTCCAGATCTGGACCTGGTGGGTTGACTTGATTTGTTTTAACACCCCTTCTATAATACCATGCTTTCCCTACCAAAAGGTTTCTCAATACACGATGTTGAGATGTCATATTAATTTGTGATCTTTGTTGAGGTTCTTTTAACTTAGATGGAAATTAAGTTCAGAGAAGTCAATTAGACATACCAAGTCACCAAGTCTTTGGTTGACTCGCCCAGATGACCAAATTCTACTAATTCTTGGCCCTTCTGTTTTTGTTTATAAATGTTCACAGCTTTTCTTATTCTTACACGTGCATGCACCATGCGCATTTGAGTGCACACACACACACAGTCCAGGTTGAACTTTCCAAACTCCAATTCTACTTAGATGCTTTATAGTTCTTGTTATGATCCATTCTAGTCTCATATTGCTCGTTGATGCCATATGAACGCTTTTTTATTCATGTGTGTTTTTCCATGTCTGCAAGGGTGTAGTGTTCATTCTTGATTCAATATTTATGTTTTCCTTTTTTAAGGTTGGGATTATCCATGCTATTAACAAGCTGAAAGATGACCTACCAAACGTAAACTTGGCTGTCTCTCTTCATGCTCCAATACAAGATATCCGTTGTCAAATTATGCCCGCAGCTCGTGCTTTTCCCTTAGGCAGACTCATGGATAACTTACGACTCTATCAAGAGAACAGGTGGGCCTGACATTATTCATCACTAGTATCTTGTGGTAAACAATGTGACAAATGCCAGAAAGAATCCTTATTTTAATTTTTCTTGAATTTCTTAAGAAATAATTTATTTCTTAAACTCATCTTGAAACATTGTTTATTTTTTACATTTTTAGCCAAAGGAAAATCTTGATCGAGTATATCATGCTCGATGGGGTGAATGATGAAGAGCAGCATGCTCACCAGCTTGGCCAGTTGCTTAAGATGCTAGTAGTGGTGAGCTTTTACACTTTATACGATTGAACTATAAGTTAAATCATCAATAAATCACAGTTGATTTATGAAATACCCTGCCTGATTTTGTTTTTATTTTTTATTTTGATTTCGGTGTAATTGCTATAGTTATTCATAGCTCGAGACATTACATTTTCTCATATCCACTTTAATGAGTTTAGACACTCCTTGATCATCTCTTTTTCAGATGTAATTTGCTCACTTGCATATTCTCTGGTTCTGTTATTTTTGTCAACCTCTTATCTGTACCATTTTTCTTATGAAGTGTGAACATTAGTTTTTTTATAAATGACCCAAACACTTCATACTCCTTGTACAAAGTGGCTTTGCAGGTTTTGAATTATTTTTGGAGAAATTTAGGTTCATGACACCCCAAAAAACCATTACTATGACGCCACCATCACCACCACCCCCCCTTCCCCCCCCTCCCCAATCCCCTCACCCCCAAAAAAAAGCATTTGATTTGCACTCATACTCTTTTTTCAAGGTCGGAAGTTAATAATTGAAGTCAACTTCGGACCTTCGAGGTTCAAGTTTGTTCTGAACCTCAACTTTAAGCCTTCGAGGTTCAAGTTTGTTCTGAACCTCAACTTTAAGCCTTCAAGGTCCAAGTTTGTTCTGAACCTCAACTTTAAGCCTTCAAGGTCCGAAGATGTTCTAGTGTTCTAACTTTTACTTCAGACTTTCAAGGTTTGAAGTTGTTCCAATGCCGTTGTTTGTTGCATTGACAATGCATGGAGTGGTAGTTGTCCTCTTCTCATCCCATAAGGCGGGGACAAAAATGTTAGGTGGCTCCCAAAGGCAACCAAGAACTTGTTTCCACATAATACTTGGAAGCAAGGTTGGCTCTCAGAATCTTGTAACCCAAATTTGTCCTAGATGGAGCCAAAACCGAGCTATGGGTTACCTGAACCAGGCTTGGCAAGATTTTAGGGCCTCGCCTGAGTATCTTTAGCCTTGGCAAATCCCTTTTAAGCCCTTAATGAGAAAGAGGAGAAAAAACAATGCTAAATACTACTTAATATCACTTGAGGCATTGGAGGCACAAAAATTATGCGCATGCATGGAGAAAAATAGGGTGATGATATCTATCACGTTTTAGCTGCTATTATGAAAGTAGCAACTAGTAACTTCTTTAATAGATTAATACTTGTTTTTTTTTTGGTAATTTACTTCTATGAACTTGGGATGTGATAGATTTGATCAGAAGTATTGGTGTTTCCAGCAACTTAATGAATGTTATCTAATTTTTTATGTGTCTTTCATGAGATGGCATCTAACAACCTCGGACCTTCATAGTCCGAAGTTGAGGTTGGAACATTGGGACATATTTGGGCCTTGAAGGTTCAAAGTTGAGATTTGAAACAACTTCGGACCTTGAAGATCGACTGTTAAAGTTTGGAAGAACTCCAAAAAACTTCGAACCTTGAAGATCTGCAGTTAAAGTTTGGAAGAACTCCGAACCTTCAAGGTCTAAAATATGTTAAAAGAAGAGCTTCTCAGATCTTGAGATATGAAGCTAGACAATTTGGTTAAACTTTGGACTTTGAAAGTCTGAAGTAGACCGAAGTATGGACAATTTGGGAAAAACTAAAAAAAAAGGTATGAACGTAAATCAAACTTTGTGGGTGGTTTTTTATAATAACGGTTTTTTTTTTTTGGGGGTGGGGGAAGGGTGAGCAAGAAATTTTTGTATTTTTACTTTGAAGTGTGAAAAGGATTGCGCACAATCTTATTTATGAAGCAGAACTATTTTATTCAGCTTTCTTTGTTTTTTATTCTCATCATATTTAATTTTTTTCACAGCTTCATGCCCTGTATTTGTGTTATGAAAATTTCATTTTTCTTCCTATACAGTTTTAGGAAACAGTTAATATGCCAGTCTCCTATCTTTGGCTATTCACAGTTTGTATCGTGAAGCAGGTTGTGAACTTGATACCCTTCAATCCCATTGGCAGTCTAAGCTGTTACAACGCAAGTAGTGAGCAAAACGTAAAAAAGTTTCAGAGAATCCTCAGAGGCGTGTATAACGTCAGGACAACGGTTCGTCGAGAAATGGGCCAAGATATAAGCGGCGCGTGTGGTCAGCTAGTGGTGAAACGTTCGGGAACCAAATTGGTAGAACATGTAAACAAATTAACAGATATCGAAGACTTATCAAGTCTGAAAATATAGGATTCATGCTGCATGTCTGGAGCCAAATAAGTAGGCTAGGTCCCTTGTGACGCCCTCAATTCTAACTCTTTTAACACTTGTTTTGTATTTTCTCTTTTCTTATTCATTCTGTTCTATGGCAACCTGATGTTTGTTTTGTATTTTTTCTTATCTTATTCATTCTGTTCTATGGAAACCTGGTGATTCTAACTCTTTTAACACTTGTTTTGTATTTTTTCTTTTGGTATTCATTCTGTTCTATGGAAACCTGATGTGTACTTTTTTCCAAATGTTAATTGTCAAAAAGAATGGGATTATATACAATAAGACCATTTATCTTTGATACAAGGTGATTATAATTCTTTACAACCATTTGATGTGAAATTTGAGAGCTTTGATGAGTTACAAAGTTCAAGAAAATTTCTTTTGAAGATTGAGCTTGATCAATATAATAATTGCAGCCACCCAAATTCACATGTTATGGTCAAGATTAATGTGACCACTTTGTACCAAAAGTATATGGTTATTTTCCCAAAAGAATTTGTGTTATATTGTGCATAAAAATCTTGATTAGGTCACCTCCTAAGAGAATAAAAAAATATGCTTATCTATTATGAAAACATTGAAGAGAAGCACTGTCCTGTCCCTTTTAGAATGTTTTTATGTTATAAAATGGAGATAGAGAGCAAAAGCATGATAAACCCTTAGTTCTATGTATACCACGTTGTAAGTAATCTAATTGAGATTTTGCCGAATTAGCAATGCCAAGAGATATTCTACTCCTTTGGGAGTATATCGTTCGTGTACTCCCTAGGGTAAAACCCTTGGTAGGATTAATTTTAGGTATTCTAATTTTGGGGATATAACCCCTTCAACAAATAGATTGAGCTCAACAATTTATTTTTTCTAATTGCACTCTCTAAGAACTTGAGAAATAATGGCATTTATTTTTTATAATTGCACTCTCTAAGCACTTGAGAAAATAATGGCTTAAGACCGAATAGAAACTATCCAATTTTTAGAGCTAAAGTGTTGGAAAACTAAATTTTCAAAAATTTTTTCTTGAAAATAATCATCTAGTGATTGTGAGGTAGTTTCCAATATTTCAAATTGAAAATATCCTCCTACATAGGTCATTTGACTGACAAATTTTTTTTTTGAAAATAATCATCTAGCGATTGTGAGGTAGTTTCCAACCAATATTTCAAATTGAAAATATCCTCCTACATAGGTCATCGGACTGAGGGAGTAGTAAACTATGATCCTGATGAGGCATACTATATGTGCCCATTTCAGCTGCATTAAATTTTTACCAGGAAAAAATTAAAATTTGGTTCTATTCAATTTCCGTCCCCTTCGAAAATCTATCTTAAGAGATGAATTTTGCGTCCAAATTTTCATGTCAACAATCTCGTCCACTGCCATCATGAATTTGAGAAAAAGAAAGAAAAGGTATTTAATCTTTGAAAACAGCTTATTTCAAAAGAATTAAAATGAATAAAATCCAAAAATGGTCCAAAAGCAAAGATTTAAAATTACAGGTTGAAATTATGGACCTGTTTAGTTCCAGAATTCATCTCTAAGATGGACATTTGGTAGGAGACAGCATATGCACCAAAATCCCATCTTTGCTATTGGTAGTTTGTAAGAAGGGTTGTAATTTGACAATGTCTTAATGATACTGGCTCTTGCAAAATATAAGCGTAGTGAAGAGAAGTAAATCTCATCTGATAATGGGACATGAACAAGGAAACATGTAAAATAGCTCATAAGCAATGATATGAAACGGAAAATATGTTGGGAGCAGAGTGAGGGAGAGAACTATATACGTGATTTTGAACACATTTCCATCCTCACACCCAAATAATTGGGGACTAAAAAAATTCCGGCATTGAAAATTTTGCTGGAACTAAGGAGGGCTAACCACCTCACAAGCTAGAATATTAATCACAATCAGTACCATCAATGATGATGATGATACCTCGAACCCCAGCGAAGAAACCCTTTGGGCATGTCTGTTTCACAGTGTCACTCAATTTATCCTTCCCTCACGGCATTTTGATCTTTAATGAGCCCCTCTCCTATAGGGTTACAAACCTCCTCCTCCTTCAAAACTATTTCTCCCTCCCCTGAATCCTCTTCCTTATCTACTTTAATCCTAAACTTGATAGCTGCGTACACCTTCGAGAGAGGTTCTTCTTCTTTCTCTATCTTTTTCTTTGCTTTGTACACCTTCGGGAGTGGTTCATTAAGGCCCACTGAGATACCTTCAAACATACCCTAGTGATCCTCCTCTGAATTATCCAACTGCATCTCTTGGTTGGTTGGTATCATCGACCCCTGTCATGGTCTTGGGGGAAGTTTTTTTGCAGAGGGAGAGGGAGAGGTGTAAAATGAAATGAAAACCAACTTTCCCATCAATAGAAAGGCAAGGCAGGATAGCATGGGCCAATGTATGTTCGAATGTTTTGTCTTAAGAGCTGAAATTCAATGTATGTTTTATCTTATGGGTGGGAAAGGAACCAATTAATGCAAAGTTTCGTGCATTCATTGAAATTTATGGATCATAAAGACTTTGCTCCCAAAACATCCATGCAATAGTCAACCTAATTGTGTTGATTTTCGTTCTTTTTTAAAAAAAAAATTTTTTTGGACCCCTTATGTATCATTGGATGATTATTTTAAAATAATTCATTTTTATTTGAGTTGTGGGAACTTATATCTCACATCCAAAAAAATGGATGGCGATGGTTTTTTTTTTAATCTTGAGCTATTATTTTTTTTAATGCAGTGGTTCGATAAATATAATTAAATTGGTATAGGAGTTGTACCCATCAAAGATGAAGCAGAAAAAAAAATGTTCATTTGTTGAATTTAACATGAGATGGTTTAGTCGAAAGTATACTCGTGACACGGAGTATAAAATATCATGTGTTGATAAAATTTAAAGTTGGTTTAAATATAGTGCATGGCATTGAATGCATTGAAACTTCATTAAATTCCACTTCGATATGCTGGAGTCGATATATTTCTTTTTAATAAATGCAACTTGGATATGATGGAAGACTATATCTTCCTAAAATCTTAAAACGAAATGAATTGATAAGAACAATATCTCTAAGTTATCTAAATGTATTAATCCTTTTTGTTCTAGATTGAACCTACGCAAAAATATACTTAGAATTTTGAATAATAAAATAGATTTTTGCAAACAAACCAGATTGCAAGCGGACCAGTCAAGAGTAGAGACTCAGGACTTCAGAATACTAAGTATAATAGACTGAATTCTAAAATCCTGCTGTGTTTTTTGTGTTTCAAACTTGAACGTGAAAGGCTAAACATTCACAACCAGTCAGTTAAATTTTAAAGTTAGAGAAAAGATCTTTGTTCAAATAAAGTAGACGAATATATGTCACTCACAACACTACAAATACTGTTAAAAAATGATGGATCCCATATATTTATAATCACATAGAACATTGGATAGCTTCCATTACTCCAAAACACTCGAAACCCCGGACATTCAAACTTCAAACAGACCAACGATCTCTCTGAAATAAAGAGGGCTAACCGCATCTCCAGGCAACCTCCTCACAAGCTAGAATATTAATTAATATCACTATAGGGGAGTGTGAAGAGAGAGCAAGAGGGAAAGAGAAATGACGGAGCGATAGGTCACGATGAATATACAGAGGGTAAGGGAGTGTGAAGGATAGAGAGTGAGAGGGATGAGAGGGCGAGATAGTTGCGAGAGAGAAGTGAGATGGAGAGAGTGAAATGAGGGAGAGAGAGATCGAGAGAGAGAGGTCACGATGAACATAGTGAGAGTGGGAGTGTGAGAGATGCTGAGAGGGCGAGATAGTGGTGAGAGAGAAGAGAGATGGAGAGAGAGCAAGAGGGAGAGAGAGAGGTCACCATGAACATAAAAAGAGTGGGAGTGTGAAAGATGTGGAGTGAGAAGGATAAGAAGGCGAGACTGAAGAGAGAGAGGTGAGATGATGTGGAGTGAGAAGGATAAGAAGGCGAGACTGGTGAGAGAGAAATGAGATGGAGCGAGAGCAAACGGGTGAGTGAGAAATAAGGGAGAGAGAGAGAGAGGGCGAGTTTGAGACATGAAGGAGAGAAAGGGATGAGAGAAATACATGAGAGAGAGGATGTGGGTGAAATGTGGATGAGAAAAGCGTACGAGAGAGGAGGGGTGAGTTCAAGACTCTAAGACATGATGGAGAGAGAGAGAGAGAGATTACACTCATACATTGTTGTAACCCTCATTGTATGTGGCTGGTACCCCATTTACTGGATCCTACATCTGTCTGGGAACGCATTTATTAGGTTTATCCCCTGGCGAGGAGTCGAAGGGTATATTACTTTGTCCTAAAATATCGAAGGAGGAGCGGGATGCAGAGTTTGAGGCATAAAGGTTATTTAGGATTAAAAAAAGAAAACTTAGTGAGGACGTCTCTGAATTGATCTAACCTTATTCCCTTCAATATCGCAATCATCGAGGGCAGTGTCACAAACACAGAGCACTGCGAGAAAAGGGAAGGGCAAACTCTTAAATATGTTCAATGTTCGTGCAAGGGAGGATGTCAATACTGCTACAATACGCTGTTTTTTTTTTTTGCGCATGGCAACATTGCGAAGGGACCCAGGTTCCATAAAATGGTATCCGCAATAACTCACGCTCCAAAGGGGCATGCCCCACCCAAATATGAGAAGCTTCGGACAACTTTGCTTCATCAAGAGAGAAGCAGGATTGATTGGGAATCGAGAGCACTAAGGAATGAGTGGTCAACTTATGGAGTGTCTAATGTTTATGATGGATGGAGTAATATAAAAAATGAATCCCTTGTTAACATCATGGCCGTGTCTAGTGAAAAAGCCATGTTTGTGAATGATTATGAATGCTCAAACATCAAGAAAACTAATAAGAATATTGCAAATATTCTGTTAAGTGCATGAATCAGTTGTAACCGACAACGCTGCTAATTGCAGGGGTGCCGGAGTCATCCCCATATTTTTTGATCAGGTTGCTTGGCTCACACATTAAGCCTTCTTATAAAAGATGTTGTGAAAAAAAAGAGGAAAAACCCCTTCATTTCTTTTGTTAGAAATCATTGCAAGGAGGCAAAGAGGATAGTCAAGTACATTCGTAATCACAATAGATGTCTGTATATATTTAGGATTATTTCAAACCTTGAGCTTCTCAAAGCCAAAAAGACTAAATTTGGATTCCATTACATCATGTTGCAGCAGTTGATGGAAGTGAGGTTGTCCTTAATGTTTCATGTTGCAGCAGTTGATGGAAGTGAGGTTGTCCTTAATGTTCCTCGTGTTGGGTGAACATTGGGAGGGTGTTAAGCGAGGCCCATAAGATATTGTGCATGATGAAGTTCACAAAGTAATCATGGATGAATATTTTTGGACAAGCAACAAGAAAATGTGGCCAACATGGATGATCATAATGTTCACAGAAAGTGACAAAACTGTTGTGGGCAATGCATATGAGAAGATGAATACTATGTTGGGTGAGATAAATGTGGCCTTGTATGGTGATCCTGAATTGTACCAAAGAGTTAAGAGACTTGGTTGTGTCTTGATGGGTTTGGGTAAATCTTCCACTCCATTTGCTTGGCATTTCTTTTGAGTCCCAAGTATTACTCTCGAGAGTAGTTGACTACACCCACAACTGGTGGGGAGAAGAGGGTGAAGGCCCATTACAACATAGAGTTGTCATCTTATTACCATAAAGCTCTTGATATGATGATTGTACATGAAACAGAACGAGCTAATATGCGACAACAAATTAGGAATTTTGTTGGCAATAGAGGTGTTTTCTCCCTCTCAACATCAAGAGCTGACAGGGGCACAATGTCAGCAATTTTACAGTGGGACCTGTATGGAGGTGGGGCTCCAGAGTTGTGTTCATTAGCAGTAAGGGTCATCACAAACTGTTGATTCTTCATGTGTAAAAAGATGTTGCAGCACTTACATCTACATCCGCAGTGTGAAGAAACCGATTTAATCCAAATTGATTTGAGTCATCAGTCTATGTTCATTATAATAACAAGTTGCTTAACGGATTGCGGGGAGACTGTGAGACCAAGTACAAGAATTGGGATGCTCACCCTGAGGACGACCACCTCTAGGATGAAATGGAGGCTTTGATGGAATTAGAAGCAAGCCTAAATTCTCATGACACTTATCGTCTGTCTACTTCCCTCAAACTCCCAAGTCCTAATGTTCCTTTGGGAACTTCCCTCCCATTTGGGAACTTCCCTCCCACAAATAGATTTGGGGACCCCTCTGCTGCACAACCAAGCCCTGACACACCAGCAACTCCTCCAAGTCGAGGCCTCTCGCCACCATCTGTTGTGACACAAAAGCTCCATGCTGCTTGGAGGACCACTAAAAAATATAAAAAATCGTGGTGGTATTTGGATATTTCTCTCTTTTGTATTGTGGTTGTAAGGGCCGTAAAACACTTTTGGATCTCTCACTCTCATGTAATTGTAAAAGCTCTCCCTCTCTCCCCTTCACGTGGTTGTAATTGCACAACCATAATTTTGGACGTTGCTCTCTCTCACTCACTCTCTCTCCTTCATGTAGTAAAATCCTAATATCGGATGGTAAATTACAAAGCCAAGGTTTTGGACGCTTCTCTCTCTCCCTCCCTCCCCCCTGCCCTCCCTCCTACCTCCTACCTTCATTTTCCTTTTTAGAAAGCAATACTAACACCATAATTATTCATGTATATATAGTGTTGGGTGATATTTCTTTACACAACTATTTAGAATGTCATTATTTGATTAGTGAAATGATCTATCAATTTTATTAATATAATGACAATGGATTAGTTCAAAGTTCTTTATTTATTTCATAGAAGACTAAGCCTACATGTTATTGGTTAACAATGGGAGCTACATTTTAAAGCCACAGTTCCTTAATTCAAAATATACTAGAGGAACTCATGTTCTAAGAAAATGGAGCTCGCTCTTATAAAAGTTATTCCTCACTCTATAATATGTTGGATCACTTTTACTTATGCGCTCCATGAGTCAAGAAACTCAAAAAAATGCCCTTGCGAACTTCGCTTCTTACGCATAGGATCTCACACTTTTATATGATAATACTCAATCCTATGTAACAAAGGAGCTTGATCCCCAACACACATGGACTTCAATCGTGACCTTTGAGGTTATACGGCCATCGATCTCTAACACAGGGATCTTCAGTATAGCTTCAATCCGCCGATCCCGCCCCCAATTCCGGAACTTATCTCGTTCCCATACCCGTTCCCATACCCGACAACTATGGTGTAGATTCAAGGAAAGCTGAAGGACAACCAAAGTTAATATGTCAAATACATTTAGTGTAGTCTATGGCAGTGCAGATTGGGGTGTATTGCTAAAGATTAGACAATAATGGGGTTTGGAAGAGATGGAGGCTTTGGATCATATGATCTCCAAATTCCACATTTTTCAGTATTGATCAATTAGAAGCCACAAGGATTTTTAAGCGACAAGGAGGTCAAGACAAGGGGACCCATTACCCACCTCTTTCACAAAAGCCTTCAGCAGTATGATATAGTCGGTGGAGAATGCTAGGCTGCTGAATGGATTCCAGGTGTCTAGTTCAGGACCGACTATTTCACATCTGCAATATATACATGACACATTAATCGTTTGAGATGCAAGGGAGTATGAAATGAGAAATTTAGGAAGATTCTTGGAGTGCTTTAAAGTAATCACAACACTTAAAAGTGAATATGCAAAAAACAAGATTGCTAGGACAAGGATGTGGTAAAGAGGAGCAGAGGAAGTAGGTGTCCATTCACTCCATAGTAGGATGTGGAATTGATAAGTTTCCAATGAAATACTTAAAAGACTATCAATAACATATACAAGGCCATGAAGATCAATATAGGACCCTATAATACAAAGATTTCAGTATAAATTGAATCTATGGAAATCGAAGATCTTCGTCTGTAGGAGGACAAGTACCATTCATAAAAATCCACTCTATTGAACATACCACTATATTGTATGTCAGTGTTTAGAATTCCAGATGCCATTGCAAAATATCCAGAAAACTTAAATGAGGAAGTTTTTATGGGGTGAAATGGAGGAGACAAGGAAGCACAACTTGGTAGCTTGAAAGAAGGTGTGTACTCTAATGAAGGACAGTGAATGGAAATCAGAAAATTGAGAGTGATGAATAACGCTCCCAAAAACAAATGATGATGGAGATGCGTAAAAGGAGAAAATGAAGAGCATTTTGGAAAATAAATATGGCAAGGACATTGGGCGAATAGCCAAAGGTTTGAGCAAAATGGGGATCCCCTCGTTATGGAAAGAAATTGTTGCCCAGAAGGAAGTTTATTGGCGGAGTACAAGAATTCTAGTGGGTAAGAGAGAGAGTACAGTCCAGATGAATAAATGGATTAGGGATAGACCTTTAAAGGTAATATTTCTAAAATCATATGAGAAAGTAAAGGAGAAGATGTCATTGCTGCTAAAATGGTTACAAGGACAGGTTACAATGCTCAATGGAAGATGAGCTGCATACATAATAGGCGATCGGTGCAAGTCCTTAACCAGTACATACATCTTTGAAATGACACTATTACTGTCCACAATTCAAAGATGGCTAATATGCGAGTTATCTACTGAAGTAGGGTATTCGATGAAGTCCTATGCAATACTATTTCATGACAGAATGAGATGGTCTGATACAAGAGTGGCTCAGGTATGGAAATTTCCCTATCCCAATTCCCACATAAAGTGGGAATTTTCATTTGATTGTTAATACTAGCAAAATTGCTCACAATCGATATATTAAGAAGGAGAAGGAAAATCCTAACCCAGTGTTTTAAAAAGCGCTAGACGGCACCTAGGCGGTCGCGGGGGGGCATCCAGGCCGCCCAACGCCTAGGCGGGCACCCAGAACCTGGGCGGCCCAAAAAAAATAAAAAAAAAATTGGGTTTTTCTCTCTCAAAAACAGCCTCTAATGTGTTTTAGGTTCAGTAGAAACCTAGAACCCACAATTTTGAAAATTTAGTATTAAAAAAAATGACCCAAAAATAGCCTCAACGAACAGCATTTCCGCCTTTGGGCAGGGCACAAGCCCTGAGTGGCCGCCTAGGCAGGTTCAGGCAGCCGCCTAGGCGGGTTCCCGGGCGCCTAGGTGGGCGCCCAAGGATACCCGCATAATTTGGCCGCTGAGGCCTGAGCGATGCGCCCAAGCCTTCTGGACCGCCTGGCAGCCACCCAAGCGCTGGGCAGTCCGCTTTTTAAAACGCTTTCTAAAACACTGTCTTAACCAATACATGCATATTGTGCAAGAAAGATGAAGAGACTGGGAATCATATCTTTCTGCATTGCAGATTCAGTAGTAGGTTATGGGAGTGGATGAGGCAGATCTTTGGGCCAAATATTATTACCTGAGCAAGCAGGAAACATTCTGTCACAAATGGATATTATAGGAGTTAGTGTGGGAGAAAATTTTGGAGGTTTCTCATTAGTATGGGAAGTATGAAAACAAAGGAACCAAAAATTTTTCAAAGGGGAAGTCATTGAGAAGGATGCAGACTAATGGCAGCAGACTGTGCCAATCTAAGCAAAGTATTATGGGGTATAGCCAAACAAGATTGATGTATAAGATTACGGGGACTGAAGGCATGAAAGAAAGGCAGAGCAAGCAAGTGGGATCATCCACCTAAAGGATGAATAAAGGTTGATTTTGATGGTAAGTCAAGAACATATCCATATTAGGTGGTGTTGGTAGTATAATCAGAGATTCAAAAGATTCAATAGTAGCCGCTTTTTCAGGACCTACGGGAATTACCAAAATCATGTAGAATTAAGGTTATACAAGGTCTAGAATTAGCAGTGCAAAACCATAATAAGATAATCACTGAAAGTGGTTCAAAGACTGATATATCATGGTGAGAAGGAGAATTGAAGATACCACGGAAGTTGAGGGAGTTATGGAATGAGATACAAGATTTTTGTGAGGGAAAGGAAATTCTATCTGTGCATGTGCATAGAAAAAAAAAGGGAAAAGCTGATGATGTTTTAGCACTAGACGGAGCAACACGGGAAGAATAACTGATAAATGGATAGTTGAGGAATTGTGAGTTAATCTATCATTTTGGTTTGTAATTTTGATATTTTTCTGGGATATAATTTAGTTCTGGTAGCCAGGAACCAGTTTATAGAGATGTATCACAAGATGTCTTTGTAAATAAATGAAAATAAAAAGTTATCAGAAAAAAAAATTGAAAAACTAAAAAATATTAGGCAAGGTCCACAGTGGGGGTTTAAACCGCGCGTATTGCAAACTTGAGCACATCATGGCTAATATGCCATACTTGCCTTTCAAGTGATTAAGGAAAACACAAACTATTACAGATAGATAAACCTGGGCATACATCAATTTTTCATTTATTTATAAAATGCAACAAACTGACGGGTCATGCTGACTCGGCTCATTTTTCCGAGTCGAAAACAAGTTTCTGATCAATCACTAAACTGAAATATTCAAATGCTCATTGTTCACATACCTTGACCATATTCAGAATCACGCTTGCCATATTCTTGGCAAAAATCCAGAATCATCGTTTTAAACATTGGGCTTTCTGAAACATATGCCCATCTAAGCCCCCAAGCTTCTTTCCATTGTTCAAGGAAAACAAGCCAACCTCTCTGGAGAAAGAAATTAAATGACTAATCAAAAGAAAAAGAAGAGAAGAAATGGAAGCAAACTGAAATCCAGGTCCAATACCAACCTGTCTCTAGACAAAATGCTGAACAAATCTTGAACGCACTAAAAATGAATTTACTTAATTGACCCTTTCTGAGATTTTTCCAATGTAAGATCCTTGCCACAGTAATCAGGAAAATACAGTATCACTAATAAAAATAGGAATGATAAGATACAGGTCCAACCATGGGACATAAACCCACAACTCATAAGTTAGGAACAAAAAGTAAGAGCCCAATGAACAGAGCCTACAAAATAATATCAAATACTCAATTATGCAAAACTTGTCCATACCTTATTTCTCAGGACAAAAAAAAAGAATCTAATGTTCAGAAAAGATCATGACCTAACCTGATCTGCTTATTATAACTCATACATCAAGTTGAAGGATGATTAAAAACTCTCTCTTCTATGTCTCACAGATCCCTGGAAAGATATAAAGGAGCAGGCAAGAAAGGGAATGGAGCAACTGAAGCATAGGCGACAGGGGGGCGCGCTGAGCCACTTTGAGAACTTTTTCTCAGCTTGATTTGGTTTTTGTTATTAGTTTTGTTCGTAAGCATTTTTGCGCCCGTGGAAGACAGTTCTGCTAAAACAGCATTATTGTCTATTCTGTTTTCGTTCTGAGTGTTTGGCAAACGATGAAGAAGCAAACCAGCCATGAATATGGGCAGATAAAGAAGGCTGGCATGGAACATCCTTCGAGCGTTCTTTGTAGTACGATTTAGGTAAAATGAGAGTGCTGCAGCACTCATGCATGATGTGAGAATCACTGACTCGAGGAAGAAAGAGGCTGATGTTATACTCCCTGAAAAGGAATTCAAATGAACAGCAGGCATTATGTCAACCCACAAAGGAATTCACAGTAAGAGCATAATTAAAATAAGTCCTCTCTCTCTCTCACACACACACACGCACACACACACACACGCATACACACACACACACATACAGATAGTCAACCAAAGAATGGTGCCAGAAAAACAAGCATAAAGAATGAAACTTGCCACTTTCAGTGCTCATTTTCTAGGAACAAGAAAATAAGAGAAGCAAGACAGAAGAAAATGATAACGGAGTTCTGTTGGCACACTCTCTTATACTCTTCAAAACTCATGCATTCATAAGTTTAAGCACATCAGGCAAAAGGGTATTATTCCATTCATACATGATATAGATCCTAAAATATAACAGTAAAGAATCAAGGGGGCAAGAAAGTAGAAACTAGATTCCAACAAAAACAACTAAAACTTACAGTCATATGCCAAGAAGCCCACTGGAAGGAGATAGAGACAATTACGTAAAGCCACTAAGGAGGTTCTCTCACCACTGGGATCAGCTAAAGAAAACATACGAAACCTGAACTCCAAAAAATACAAGTTGACTGTCAAAATATAAATATTTAATGCTTGTGAACTAGATGACACTAAATATAGCAAATAAATACCCTCCTACTGCGTAATCATTTCGGCAGAAGTATGCAAGGGCCATAAAATGTGGTATCTGCCAAAAATATAAGGCAGCGGGAAGGATCATTGCTCCAGGTGAAACCTGACCAGCCGCTGCTGCCCACCTGCAAACATTTCAAGGTTAGTAATGTTATCATTTGGAAAAGATTTTCTAATTCCCATTGAACAGTAGTAATTTGGTCATGGAAGATTAATAGGATAATAAACAATCAATGACTCTGAGGTCTAACAAAACATGAGCCTTTTAGGCTCTCAGAAGAAGAACATTTCTAAGGCAACAATTGATTACCCGAGAAGCGGAGGGATGGCACCAACAACTGCTCCAACCCAGGTATTTATTGGGTGTAATTGCTTAAGAGGAGTATATACAAATGCATACAAAGCAAGATTAGAAGCAGCTAACCCTGCCGCTAGCATATTGGCCTGCAACAACCTTGCCATAGAATTTTGGTAACCATTAGTACAACATATAAATTTAGGTCATCACAATCTCCAAGTAAATACATTGAGTATAATGACAAAGGAGCCAAAAAGAGAGAGGAAAATCACAATAGTCAAACACCTTGCATGCCAATATAGTAGCACCACCAACACCAACAGCAGATGCCCAAGAAACAGCATGAGGCACAGAAAGGCGCCCAGCAGGTAGAGGCCTTTTCATTGTTCGCTTCATTTTAGCATCATTTGTTATTTCAAACACCTAATGAACAGAAATGTTAACCAGAATGATAAACTAAGAAAAAGTAGAACTAAATTGATTTTGAAGCAGCAACCAAATATCAAAAGCAAGGAATCACTAGTAAAAAAAATTAACATTTAAAAATCAACCAAAAATATCATACATATTTCTCACATTGAGGAAATGACAGTATACACTGTAATCTTTTAAATAGTATAAGAAAATGTTAGCATCATATGCAAAACACAAAATCATTATCAATATCAGAAGTGAATTGTCAAATAGAAATATTACAATGACAACACTTTAAGCAAACAAACTCCAGCACATAAAATATCACAAGAAGCAGAATGAAACCAGAGTTCTGAAAGTACTGCAAAACCCATGTCCCTACGAGTCCTTCAAAAGCCATAAAAATGGTACCAAGGTAATCCCTAATAGCATATCCAAACCACAACTACCGATGAAACATGCTTGTCCAATGAGATCCCATCAATTTGAACTTCATAATTCATATAACCATATGGAGCAGGGTGATAAATGGCATGCTCACACTGGAGTATGAAAACCATGGCATAGTCCTCCACTCTTTAACCAGGTCGAAAATTATAAACCAGAGAAATTCTGAGAGACAGCTCCCAATAGATGAAGGCACCTTTAGTGCGCAACCAGATAGAAAGTATGAGGTGTTGTGCCAAGGAAAGCATATCTATCGATGAAGGCAAGGAAGGCACATACTAGATGGCACTGGATGCACCATTCACGTAGCAAGAGCCCCAAACTTAGCTAGGCCTATTGGTATGACCCAAAATTGGTTATATGAAGCTGGATGTAGATGGAGCTGAAACAAAACAAGAGAGGAGAGGGTGGAGGCCTTACTGGATAAAGTGATGTGAGATGGGTTGAAACCAGTGTTTGCTGACTTGGGCGAGTTGCCTCGGAATCGCCCAATTTTGGAACACCCCCCAATTTGTGGGTACACATAGTTGATCTACGTTGTCTACACTTTTATTTTTTATGATTTTTCAGATATTTTCTACTTTTTTTCTCATTTTCCTATATGATGATATTTATCCAACTTTGTATTTTTTCTATTTTTCACAAAGTTTATATACTATTTTTGTTTCACAAACTCGAGCGAATCGACTCAGACTTGCCCGAGTCACTCAGACGACCCAAAGTCTGAGTTCTATGGCCAAGCCACATTCTCAACCACCAGTTGAAACATTTGAATGAAATCAAGGGCACTCAATTAAGTGTGTATAGCGAGCTCCCATGGAAGCATGCTATACAATTACTCCCTCACGTAAGAAACCTACTTAGGAGTGTTTTATCGGTCTAAAAGTTAGGGATTTCAAATCAATGAATACGTATTTAAAAGAAAATGGATTTTAAGTTTATAGACCCTTGTATTGGAGTTGGACTGTCCAAAATTGAAAGGTCTCAATCACACGTTAGGACATTAATTTTTTCAAACACAAAGTTTGAGTGTGTGTGCATATATATATATATATATATGGATATATATATATATATATATATATATA